CCCCCCCCCCCAAGGCGTGGGACCAGGGGGTTTCTGTGGGCACGGGGGGGGCGGCCCCAGCAGGACAGGGCATTGCACAGGAGAAGAGAGGCCTTTCCACAACCCCCCCGCTCTTTAATGGCACAGAAACCACCCTAAAAACAGTCCCCACCACCCATCCCCCCCCTTTATGTGAAATAATGCGGCTTCTTCACGTTGATGCCGTACTCGGCCAGCGCCGGCGTCAGGTCCTCCATGGTCAGCGTGTACTTCTTGTCCTGGGGGGGCAGGGGGGTGTCGGTCACCGCGGGGACAATGGGAATGGCTGGGAATTCCCCAAAACCCAGGGGGTTCAGGATTTCCACCCCCCGAGCTCCCTGTGCCCGAAGGAGCCGCAGTGTGTGGGGCAGTACCCAGCCCCTCAGACCCACACGTCTCCTCGGTGCCCTCAGCCGCCCCACAGCCAGAAACACACCCGGTGTGACCCCCAAAATAAACCATGTCCCCCCCCCCTGGGGCCCAGGACGGGGAGAATTCCCAGGAACCGCAGCCACGCGCCGGCTCCCGCTGATCCCCCTCCCCAGAGCCCGGGGAGGCTGCCGTGGGGGGGATGTGGGGTGACACGGACCTTGGAGGTGGTGCCGCCCCTCACACATCCCCACGAAGGGACCAGAGCACGTCCTGGGAACTCTGCTGCCCCCCAGACCCTACTGCCCCCCCCTCCCGGCCATGGAGCCCCAGCCCAGGGCACGGCCCCATCCCTGGAGGGGTCCCGAAGCTGGGCAGAGGGGGTGCTGAGGGACGTGGGGCAGTGGTGGGTGATGGCTGGACTCCAGGGTGTAGAAGGTCCCTCCCAACCCAAACCATCCCGTGGGGCTGCAGTTACATGTTGGGTCTGCAGGAACTCTACGGATTTAAGGCCCCAGAGATGCTGGGAGGGCTGGAGCCCCTCTGCTGGGAGGGGAGGCTGAGAGAGCTGGGGGGTTCAGCCTGGAGAAGAGAAGGCTCCAGGGAGACCTTAGAGCCCCTTCCAGTCCCTAAAGGCGGGGGGGCTCCGGGAGAGATGGGGGGGACTCTTGATGAGGAGAGGGATGGATGGATGGATGGATGGATGGGTGGATGGATGGATGGGTTGAGAGCCTGGCCCAGCCCAGGTTGCCCCAAGAAGCTGTGGCTGCCCCATCCCTGGAGGGGTTCAAGGGCAGGTTGGAGGGGGCTTGGAGCAACGTGGTCTGGTGGGAGGTGTCCCTGCCCAGGGCAGGGGGTGGCACTGAGGGGGCTATAAGGTCCCTTCAACCCAAACCGTTCCGTGATTCCATGATTTTGAGACTTTCTCCAGCCCATGTCCCCGTGCTGGGTGGTGGTGGGTCTGGGGGGGCTGCAGCCCCGGGGGAGGACCGCCCCCCCTCGCCCCACGGCCGTGCCCCCCCTGCCCTCACCTTGCTCTTGTTGCGGGAGCTGCCCGAGGCCGTGCCCTTCATCTTGCAGTGCTGCAGCGCGTCGTTAGCGATGTCCGAGATGAACTTCTGGGCGGCCAGAGAGATGAGGCGGATGCTGCGGGGGGAGCATGGGGAGGGGTTCAGGGACACCAGGGTGACCGAGGGGTCCCCATTTCCTACCGGGGTCCCCGGGACCACCCTGTGCCCCCCCTGGGTGCCACTCACATGCGGGGGTCAGAGGCCTCAAATCCCGCCCGGTTGAGGTAATACCCGGTGACGGCGTCCGGGATCTGTGCGGGAGAGACGTTGGAGGAGGTCGGTGCCCCCGGTGCCCCCCAGCCCGGCACGTGC